TATAAGCCAATCAAATTAAATTCATATATAGGCATATTTGAGTTGGATTAGAAATTTAGAATCCAACAAATGTACAAAATCATGTTTTGGATTTGAGAAAGGAACCGGATATTGGATCGGGTTCCATTTCAATTTCATCATTATAAAATGCACATAAAAAATTATAAAAGGTCAATATACACATATTTTTTTTTTTCGAATGATCAATATACATAAATCCACATAATAAAACAAATTAAATCCTAATGACAGATATAAGAACATATGGTTATATATGTCCTTGGAACTTGGGAAGTTATACTCCCAAATTCGATCCGTTTGAAGCTAAAAGCCCGCAATTAAAATGATGAAATGGTTTAGCCACCATGTTAGACACGAGTGTATCTAGGGCTGTTAATGGATCATATAATGGTTCAATCCGATCCCGTCTGATATGAATCCATTACAGATGTATCAGGTTTAATCTAATTCAATGAATATTTTGGACTATTATGAATTGGTCCAATTCAATGTTCAAATTGATTTTAACTTAGATTGATTCAATCCAAATTTGGTCCATTGACACCAGTATTCTAAATTTATACAAATGATTGGTTCAGTCCGATATAAATTCATTATAAATGAATCAAATCCAATCCAATCCAATCTAATAAATAATTTCGACCATTAGCCTGAAATGGTGGAATTCGATGTATCTTATTTATTTGTTCAATCCGTCCCAGTATCGGTAGATTCACACACCCCTAAGTATATATATATATATTATTAAAATAAAGCGGTCAAGAAATTTTCTCTTTTTTTTGAAATTTTTATTTTATTATTCCATGCTATTTTCAAGACAACCAATAAAAAAAGAGTATATGTAATACTATTTACCCCTCTTGCCTATCCAGATCTTTAATTTTTAACTTTATCTCCTATTTTTTTGCTTCCATATACATATATTGATAAAGAGACGAGGATACACACATGCCATCCACTATGGAGTTTTGTATTTTCACGCCACTGTCAACCCACTCTATCTCTTATTTTTCTCACTTGCTACTTGGCAGACTTTCTATTCACGTCATTTTCTATTTTTGAGAGAAAAAAGGGGGCGGAAAGAGGACTTAACCAAGCATACCAGGCCAAGAATACCAAATGGATGTGACCAAGCAGACCAAAGCTAAATCCCGTGCTCGACAAGAACACCAAATCAGGCGGAAAAACATTGTTGACAAGGAGAGAGCTAGCAGACCAGGCGTGATCAGGCATGAAAGCAAGCCAAGAAGAACAGGTGTGTTTTGATTTTACGTACTTCTGATACCAGGACATAACCTGCACTCTGAATCTATAGGTTGTTCATATGATCAATCACAACCACCATCACTCATTGATGCAGATTTGTTAGATTCTGCAACATCTTTCAACATGGAGGAGGGCTGGATATGAGGTTACAATAGATTCCACAGGCATTCTTTCCAGGATATTTCATAGCATTGATCTTGCAGATATTGGCCTAACAGGAACCAAGCTCGACGATGCCAGGGAGGTTATCATGCATGCTGAGCTGCTGTTTGGAAATATTACCTTGCGCCATGCAGATGGCATGGCAAGCTTCCTCACAGGCCCCCTGCTTGACAAGTTGAATGCTCTTCCGGATACCTTTTCGAGAAGTTACAGTTGTAATTTGAGTTTCAAGGAAGCGAAAGAAGGTTTCCTATTTGGGAGTTTTCTTTTTGACTGTATTATAGAGTGCTTGGACTCCAAATATAGTCAATACTGATTTACTGTAAATCAGGATACAAGACATGGGCGAAACTGCCACTGCACATGAGTAGAGAGTTGCTGCTACAAGAGGTCTACGATGAGGTTAGAAGGTGATCTGATTTTGCTGGAAAAAATCCCAGATGAGATAATAGAGAGGGAGATGAGTCATGGGTTGGGGAAATGGACAGATTTTGAGATTGAAGCATTTGAGGCGGGTACTGAAGTCGAGTTGGACATTTTGATGGATGAAATTGTTATGGACCTTTGGCAGTGTGGAGCTACTTTCTCTTGGATACTATAGAAAATAAGAAAACCCCCTAAGCCCTAACCCTGGCTTCTTATAAACAGCTATTCACTTTGTTTGCCTTTCTCTCTCTCTCTGTTGAGTTTTTTGTTTTTTTACTTTTGTGTAGGGCTCCTCTATCGAGAGTGTTGTAAGTTAAAGCTGCAGATTCTAGGTGCTATGTTGTAATTATGCGTCCATTGAACATGCTATAGAATGAGGGAACCTAACCTCTGTTGTACCTCCATGTTTCTCTACGATAAGATGAATTTATTTGTACAAATAATTGGGCTTCTTCACCTTCACAGGGGATTGTGTTTCTTGGAAGATTCAGCATTGGTTTTTGTCCATGAAAATTGTATTTCACGGCTTTATCCAAGGGAGCCAAATCATCAGACATTATTCACTACACTAAACAATATATGAAAAGCATTTTAATAAGTAAAAACAAAACCAAGTAAAAAAGAAAAAGTGAAACTAAAGAAAACAATTGTAGGGAACTGAAGTGGCGTCGGGACTGTTGTTAACTACTTAGGTTTCTAGATGACTTGTCCAAAAGTAACTTATATAAGTTATTTATTGTTGATCTTTAAGTTCATCTTTCTTGGTCCAATTTACTTAAAGTTTATTTATCAAATGTACTTTTTACTTGATGGTTAAAGAGTATCAATTACATTAAACACACCATATTCATGTTTTACGAGGCCTATATATATATATATATATATATATATATACACGCAGTGAAGATTTTTTTTTCTTTTTTTATTTTTTATTCCATGTTATTTTTGAAACAATCAATCGGACTTACTTTCCTAGAACCTAAATAATCTCTTCTCCTAAAATTTATCCTAAACTATCTCCCACTTTCTCCAAAATTATCTCTAATTCCTATTTATCCTCTCCGCTACTTTTTATCTATATCTATCTAAACAAAGTTTGGATTAAAAAATTTAAGAATTACTTAAATATTCTTACAAAATATATCACGAAATTATGCACTAACAATTTAAATTATGTTTTTCCGGATTATCAATTTAAATGTTTTTCAAATATTTCATAATATGTAATAGCTTTAAATAAATAAAATTCAAACAAAAATTTTAAATATTTTATAGATTATTTAAATATTTAAATAACTAAATATTTATCATAACTAGATTTTAAATAGTTAAAAAATGAAATTATGTAATAAATTTAAAAAGTTTCTTAAAAGTAGAAAAATAGTTACAACATAATATTGAAATGAATAATAATTTAATATATTACAAAATTAATAATGATATTATGTAATAATAATATAAACTATGCTTTTATGGATACTTAAATTCAATAAATAATTAATATTTTAAAATTTCAATATTTTACATTTTATTTAAGTATTTAAATAACTAAATATTTTAAATAACAAAATATTTAACATATTACATAACTAGATTTTAAATAGTGAAAATAAAGAAATTATGTAATAAGATGAAAAAAAAGATCTGCAAAGTAGAGAAATAATTATAATATAAAATTGAAATTAATAATAATTTAATATTTTTACATAATATTGCAAATAACTAATTTCACTTATATCAAGTAATAACTCGAGTAAATAACTTTAAAAAAATAATATTTATTAATAATAAATTTAACCTCTTAATCTATATTTATTATATAATTATATATACCAAAATTAATATTTATTGTATTTAAGTAATTATTCATTATCAATATATTTTCAATAATTGTGTATTTTTGCTATAAATTTTCAATAATTATTGGAGATTAAACTATTGTTATTTGGCCAACCAAATTGACCTGGTCAGGTTGGGGAGTTGTCAGCTAAAGCCGATTGACCTTTTTGTGAAAACTGACCCACTCAAGTTGTATCGGTTTGGGTCGATTTTTTGGTTTGGTCAGTCGATTCAAAAGATTTAAACTTAAAAATTATATTTAATTTTAAAAATTATAGTGCAATTATTAAAAAATAAATTTAAAAATTAGATTTATGATATAAAACATTTTAAACTAAGAAATATGGGAAATTTCCCACTTTTCCATATTTAAAATATAAAATATTAATATATATCCATGGTTAGGTCGCTCGATTTTGGTTGGTTTACAAATGGCCAAAGTGAAATTGATCCAACTTGGTCGAATTGGAAAATCTTTGAACCAAATCCGACCTAAAATACTAGAAAATCGACCAACTCAGGTCGAGTTGATCGAATTGGTTGGTTTCATCAGTTTGATGAATAAACCTAATTGAAAATAATTAATGTTATTTTTGTATTATACAAAATTTATTAAAAGTAGTATATAAGATATGAGTAATTGTTAATTATTTAAAAAGCTAAAAATATAAAACAATTGTATACTCTTATGTGATTCTATTAGGGTCATTTACTAGAGCACATCTTATAGTTTTACATATTTACTTAAACATATCTTATAGTTTTCATTTTATTAAAACATCCCATATATTTTATAACTTATTTACTTAATCGACTTTTCATTAAGTAGTGTTTATTTTGCTATTAGGCCCATGATTTTTTATTCCAAAAATACCCTTAACACTTTCTTTTGTGAAAAAAACAAAATTAACCAAATATAACCAATAGAGTGGTTGTCTATATCTTATAAAGGGCAAAAATTGTATTTTTATTTTTATTTTCTTTTGATTAAATTTATTTAAATAAACATTAAGATTAACACTGTCATCTAATGTAAGATTGATTAAATTCATTGCAAATTATAAATGGTGTTTTATTAAAATTTTAACTATATAAGATAGATTTTAATAAATCCATGTATAAGAAATAATTTAGTAAACGACCTTTTCTATTATTTATATAAATCTAATACATCCCACGGTCCCCGCAGTATTCTAGTATACATAACTACGGCGGGGGCGAGGAGAATATATACGTAGGCATATACATGAAAAATTGTATTTGAAGGTGCGAGTGTCGTCATCAGAATATTCAGCTGGCAGAAAAAACAGAGGGGTGACAGTGGCAAAGGCAAGGGATGCATTGCCAATGGGACTAAGAGATGGGGACGGCTGACCAAGAAAAGCCAACCACATCTCCATGAATCACCAAACCCTAACTCTCTCCACTCCTCTGCGTCGATCGTCCGCTATGGAGATCTTCCTCTGATCCTCTCCCTCCTTTTTCCTATATATCATCCTTTTTCAGTCGGAAACCCTAGATTTTATACGTGCCCGGAATCAGAACTGCCGTAGAAGAAAACCCTAGCTTTCGCAGATATTCTGAAACTCTCGAAGAGTCAAAGCTTCTCGCCGCGTTTGCTCACGTGTGAGACATTTCTTTGATTTGTTTGTTCTTTATTTTCATTGCTCTTGTTGTTTGTTCTACTTTGATTTCGCTTGATTTGGTTCTGCAGTTATTTTAATTAATATGGAAAACATTATCTAAGAAAAAAGAGAGAACTATTCATTTTCCATTTGTTTCGTAGTATTTGTTCTGATAACCGATAACGAAGAGGTCAAAATTTTATCTGAAGCTCTGTGGATAAACTATATGCCTGGCTTTGTTTCTATTATTGTTTAATTCAGTTTGAGGATGAAGCTCGTGTTGTGGATCTCGATTTTCTGATTGTGATGCATATTACCAGAATAGTCCTGAAAATATGGATCGAAGGCATTTGAGATGCGAGGAATCTTCTTTTCCTTTGCATTGAATGGCTCCAATCCAATTTCTGTTACTTTTCAAAGTTGAAAATAAGTTGAAATTATGGTTTATGCAGAGAAATCCATGTTATATAATATTTTCTTTTATTTTCATGTGCCAATTACACTGGCCAATGTTACAATTCTGATACTTGGGACGTTATACAAAATTGAGCTTATGCTTTAAAGATTCTATATCGAGGTTTCTAGGTAGCAAACTAGCAATGTCCTCTGCAAATTTTAAGCCATTCAATTATGATCTTGTTGCGTATATATTTATGTGTGCAATCAGAATTTAGTTTATAGACCATTCTTATGTTTTTCTTAATGTAATTTGGAATGATTGAGTACAACTTTTGTAAACTTTTTACATAAGGCTGCATTTGGAAACGATGCAAATGGAGTGTAAATCCCGGTTCAGGGTAAATTTACACTCTGGTTCACTTTTGCTTGTATTTGGCAACATTAAATTTATGCATTGACAAATGACAGAAAACACATTTTCCAATGCATTCAAGTGAGCTTTTGATAAAAAAAGGCATATGCTTTATTGGAATTCATGTTTACATCCATTACAGCTAAAAGTCTGTTTGGTAAGAAGGTAAATTGGTCAATACAAAATTAGCCCAAGTTTGCAATTTATATGGACCGTTTTACACTCTACATATTTGCATCGTTTCCAAACACAGCCTAAACTATCTATTTATTTCTTTATTTATTTTTGCTTGAATTTTGTTTTTTAGAGAAGCCAGTTTCTGAAATTAGTATGTTTGTTTTTGGTTGAATACCATAGGCGGTGAGGATGTCGACTCCTGCAAGGAAGAGATTGATGAGGGATTTCAAGAGGCTGCAGCAAGATCCTCCTGCAGGCATCAGTGGTGCACCTCAAGACAATAATATAATGCTTTGGAATGCTGTTATATTTGGGTAAGTATGAAGTAAAGATGTTTTTTTTTTTGTTGCTTTCCTCTTTCTTATCTTAGTTTGGTTGGTTATGCATTTGTTTTGGTTTTGTATTTCAGCCCTGATGATACTCCTTGGGATGGAGGTGAGTCAATCTTCTAACCCCAAATTTAACTTGAAGAAGATGCTAAACCATCCGGTAGATGGATCATTTCTTTTTATTATTTTTTCTCACATATGGTGGCTTTCTTTCAGTTGATAAATACCTTTGTTATTTTTTATATTCTGGAAACATTTAAGTCATAATTCTCCTTGGATAGCATGTTTCAACCTTTCCTATGAACTCCTCAGAGGTGGCATTAATTAAATATTTTTTTTTGAAGAAGGTAAGACATTATATTGCAAAAGAAAGAGAACTTATTACATCAGCTCATGTACAATGAGAGCCTGTACACCAGGATTATACAAAAAGACCTGAGAAATCAGTTAAAAAACAGTCTAGCTTGCGAAAAAGGCAAAATCTGGACACCAATAAAAGTCATTTGTACACTTAACCAAGAATACAGAAAACCTATAACTTTGTTCTTGACTGAAGCTACATCATTATAATTATTGTAGAAAAATCCGGCTGTTCCTTTCCTTCCAAAGAGCCCCCAGGATAGCGGCTGGAAAAATCCTCCAAAGCTGCTTGCCCCTTGCATTCAAACCCTTGAGAGTCCACCCTTGTAGAACCTGAAGGACTGAAAGGGGCAAGCAAGAACACCAAAGCAAGATAAAGCCACAATGTGATTAGAGGATTCAGGGACCTCATTGCAGAAGGAGCAACAAATACTAGGAAGATGCATCTCCCTTCTGAGCAGTCGATCTGTAGTTAGGCATTGATCAAGTGCTGCAGTCCAAACCAGGAAGGCAACTTTTGAGGGTGCATGGGAATTCCAGATTACAGTCCAAGGGAAATTTCCATCCTCACCAACCACAAGGTTGTTGTAGAAGGTCTGAGAAGAGTATTTACCAGAGGTCTCTCAAGACCAGATTCTTTCATCATCAGACTGGGTTGGGCTTGAAACCATGAATGTGACTTAGTAGCTCAGTTAGTGGACCAAATTCCCAACCATTGAGATTTCTTCTGAAAGCAGGGCCCCAAATTATCTCACCATTCACTGATTCAAAGCAGTCTTCAACCAGGAATTAATTTAATAATATACGTGGTTGGTTTGAAAAAGGGCAGCCCATTGCACAAGGCTCCCGCCAATGCAGGGTCTGGGGGGGGGGGGACAGATGTATGCAGCCTTACCCCTGCACATATTCCAAGATTTGAACCCTGGTCATGGTCACCCAGGTTACAATGGAGCAACCCAACTGTTGTGCCAATGCTACGCTGTTCCTAATCAACTCAGTGTAACTAAGCCTTGACCTGATGGATGCTGTGAGCTGCATGGACCCTGTTACACCATTCCATTAACTCTGTTCAGTATCATATCCAGTGATAAATTGTCGGTACTCAAATACATTTTGGTCTGCCCTTAGATCTTCTAGACCCCTCAGCTTGCAGTAGGTCACTTGTTCTCATTGGTACTGTAAATGGTCTTCTCTGCAGATGATGAAAACCAACCAATAAGGTGCTAGAGCATCTTTCTGTATTCAGTATGTGAGATGGTGCCATATTGGTGAGGTTTCTAAGTTCTGGTTCTTCTGGAGGTGCACTTTCTATTGTAAGAGATCTGGTTTATATTGGGTGTAAACACCAGACACAGTGGGGAGATGGAGCAGGATTTTTGTAGCCAACCTCAAATTTAAATTTTGGGATGAGGAATAGTTGAGTTGAATTGGAGGTTAGTTGCATGTGAAAACCCATGCTTGAAATACAAGGAACATGTTTGTGTTACAATACATGTGATCTTAAAACCATTATTTGCATTATCAACGATATTTGGTAAAATTTCCCCGAAATATCCCCAATTCGCTAGGTGTTAATATGAATTTTTGTGGGAATCTTTGTTTTTTTTTTCAAATATCTCTGACATTTTGCCAATATGTTGGCAATATGTTAGATTTCATTGATAAACTATATAATTATATATTTAAGGTTTAAAATTTGTTGATATTATTATTATTTTTTGATATTTCATTCTAATCATCATAGTTTTTTAAAAATATGCTCCTAAAAGAACCAATTGGGGGGAATTGGTTATTAGATAATTGGCGTACTATTTCAAAAAACAGAAAAATGCATATAACTACAAAAGAGTATTATCAATCTAATCAAAACATATAGTAACAAAAAAGACAAAATGGCAAGTAATTAGCATTATTTAATGAAGAGAAGATAGCTAAATGACTAAAAGGGAGACAAAGATACCTATTAAAGTCTCTTAATTTTCTTTTATTTGATTTATGCAGTTCTTTGCTATGGTTTTTTGAACCTTAAATGTGCAACTATGTTTCTTATAATGATTTCTTGAAGGTTAATTCACTAATTCCATGCTTTTAGAAAATTTTCTTGCTTTTTTTTTTATTTTCCAAATATCTTATTGAAATTAGTGAAATATCTCCACCTCTGCATGGAAAAATGTCCATCAATGTCGAAATTGTGAATCGTGCTTAAAATTATTCTCTTGAATGGGTCTGCTTGTGGTATATTGTTGAATGATACTTACAGTTTTTAGGTTCAGGGTTTTCTGTGTGTGACCTACTTTGTGTTCCCATAATAAATTTAAGTTTCAAGGTTTTATTGAATTTATAGATTGATGTATCTATTTTTCTGCTAATGATTGTTAAATTCTAATGTCATAGAAAATATGTAATAAATCTTCCTTTTTTAATTTCTATTCAGTCTGTAGCATCTTACTTCTTTGACCATATCTTTTGAACTGTTGTTTGAATCTTTCAGGTACGTTTAAGTTGACCCTTCAGTTTTCAGAGGATTATCCGAATAAGCCACCAACTGTTCGATTTGTTTCTCGAATGTTCCATCCAAATAGTAAGTTGAGAGCAAGAAGTGCAAAATGGTGCCATATGCATTTGCAATCTCTAACAGGATAATGGGCTATCAGCAGTTTTCATTTTGGATTACATTTAGAAATTGTAATAAATGTCTTAGAAGGTGTAAGTCGTGTATGCCCTGATGCGCAACTTCAAGGTGAGGCAAAAGGGGAAGCCTTGAGGCAAATGGGGGAGGCATGCATACACACAAGGCTTACACCTCTGGTGCAAAGGTGTGCATAAGGTGTACACCTCTGTTGTGCCTTATACAGTAATCATACACCTCTCATGTCTTAAATCCTTGGGTCTTTTATTTATGATATTGAATGAAGCAGCACCCTTTTGAAAACTCTTGAAGACTTGAGTATCCCGTATCTCTCCTTTAAATCCTGGACTATTAACAATCCAAATGAGAAAACAATTTTGGGTTCCAACACAATGTTCTTTCCTTGATATTGTCACCTCCTCATTCCCTTCTTCCTTTCCCATTCTCCCCTTCTTCTGTCTCATTCTCCCTATTTCCAGTAGTAAAATTAGTTTATAACCTTGTATTGGTTAATGAAGGCTACAGTTTGGTGTTCATTCTATCCATTCATCCTCTTACTTTTTTCTTTTTGGTTCTTGAACTTTGCCAGTTTATGCCGATGGGAGTATTTGTCTGGATATTCTACAGAACCAATGGAGTCCAATTTATGATGTAGCAGCTATACTTACATCAATCCAGGTACAATTGATTATTCCATTTGTTGTCTGTTGCTTCCTTACATCTGTTCACTGCATATTATTACTCTTTTTCACCTCATGGAATGAAATTAATTAAGAATTCTTTGCCTGATGGCTTATCATGAGCTTTTATTTTGCCTATCAATGTAATATAATGTTTGTTTATAAAAAGAAGATGGTACACTGCTACACTCTAAAAGTCTGGAATTCATACTCTTGAGCTTTGATTAAGTGCTATTCAAACTCTTTTAGTTAGGCTGAAAATGACAAGGTGTTGAATTAGAAGTATGACATGCTGATGGGCTTTTATTCATCAGTGTTTTCAAAGCGTTGACTAGTCATTTGAGGGCCAGACTGATTTCATCACTAACTAGTCCTCATGATGTGGTCACCTAGGATAACTAAGCATCCACTAAGTTGAGTAGTCGATTAATGCCTAGTCAACCACAGCAGGGGCTGAAGTTGGTGGTAAGTCATTAAACTATAGACACGTTGTGGTGGAAAGAGACTATTGTGTTGTAGTGGGCTGGCTACTAACGTCAATAGTTTCCAAGATGCCAAGGCCAGGGTATGAAACAGTGGAGCACCTTGTTGCTTAGGCGCCTAGGTGATGGGTTTTCTTAAATAAAACTCCTAAATCATAGGGTAATTCCCTAGGTTCTATAGCAAATAGCAATCATCTTTCACTAGTAATTATCAATAATCTTCCTCAAGTAAGTATAAACTTCATATCAAAATATAGAAAATCAACATATTCATGAGAAGGAAAAGAAGAAAGAGAAGAATATTTAGAAAATAAAGGGCCTGAGCCCTTGTTTTTTTGTTAGGAAAATTGGAAGCGAAAGGGTGGAAGAATGTGTTGATTGGATCATTGAATAAAAAATTGCTTATTGGTTTAGGTTTTGAAGTCTTCAAGGAGACAAAGATCAGAAAATTGTTGCATTAGCCAAACAAGGAAGAAACAGGCATAGATTGTATTTGGTGGGGGATTGATTACTAGGGAATCTGATCCTCAGTATTGCATACAAACTGGTGGTGACAGACGGGAAAGGTAGTAGAAGCTACCTAGGGACAATGAGCTTCTTGGCACATTGACCGTGTTATAGCCTATTTTTTGTCGCCAATGTATAAAAGTGAACAGGTACCAATAAAAGCACGTGCTAATTATCGGTCTGCAACAGGATCTGGGAGTCATCCCATTGTTTAAGTACAATAACCTTATTGAAATTACTGTGTTTCTTTGAAATACCTTTCCATAACCTTAGAGTTATTGGAGTTTCTCCATCAAGGGTATTGCTGCCTAAGTTACCCAGACATGACAAGGACATTTCTGGAAAAGGTGTTGGATATGGGATTTTACACTAAAAATTATCTAATGCAGTACAACAACCTTGTACACAATTATCTAATGCAGTACAAGAGGGTGTTGCCAGTCTGCGATTTTTCCACTACACCAAGCAATTACCCCTATGAAGTTCATTGAAAGCTGGGATAGGTTAATTCCATTTTTTGATAGATATTACATCTTATTTCTGGCATGCTTCCTCTTTTTTTTTGTGATAAGACTAGTATATACTCTTCTTGTCAAAAGGGTCTGGTTGTTTACTTCGAAAGAAGATGGAAAAGAAAACATCGTTAACTTAGTTGAATTTTCACTGCTAGATCGTTCTTTGAACCAATCATCTGTCCAGAGGTCACTTGCAATTGTTCCTGCACAATGACAAGCTGGACTCGTTGTTTAACAAAGGTAATTGAGCCCAGTTGCTTACTTAAGAAGATGGAAAAGTAAACATACTCAGTTAAATTTTCACTCTTAGATCTTCCTTTGAACTGCTCATCTGTCCAGAGGTAATTGAGCCCACATTTATCAAAAAGAAAAAGAAAAAAAAAGGTAATTGAGCCCCCAGTGGTTGGGTGGCAAAGTGGCTGAACCACTTTGTGTAAAAAAATGCCAAAGGTTAGGACCATATCCAGTCTACCCCTCCCAAGACCCCAGATAGCTGGGGACAAACATTGCACAATGGTTTTGTTCTATTATTTCTGTTAAAAAATTCAGAACATGTGATGTAGGACAAGTTCAGTTCTAGTCCTTGGAGAATGTTGAATGGTCTTCTTGATCAGAGTTTTATGGCTGTCAATGGCTGTAATGGCTTCTTGGAGGAATAAGAGAGAAAATACCTGGAATCACTACAGGGTGCCTAGAATCACTCTAGGACATGGGAATCACTCACCATAAATTGCAGAAGCTGAAGAAAACTCAATATAATTCATTGCCTTTGTGTAAAACGTCCGTACATATTCATAGACTCTAAACTCATAATAATCCTAGGAGTCAAACTGTTAGACTCAATAATCCTAGTAGGACTCAAACTAAGTTGTCATATCCTATTTCAATTCAAAGAAGACTCAATAACTCTAATCCTACTTATGCAATGACTCTGAAACTAGACAAATTAAACCCTATCATTGTTCTCTACATAAAATTGTAAAAATGACAAAAATACCCTACTGTCCAAAAATACAGAAATACATAAAATTTCACAAAATCCCAATTTTGACTCTCCAGCTCCTGCATCAACATGGTTGGCCTTTTGTTCAAGACACCAAAACATCAATATGTTGCTTTCAGAGGTTAAAGGGTAGAAGGAATTGAAAAGAATTTTTTTGTAATTGATCAAGTCATCAAACGGCTTGTTGGTTGTTGCCTTCAAGGAATTCAGAGATGACAATATTATTATTAGGGATATGAACTTCTTATCATGGTCTTTTTTTTTGATAAATGAGTAATATTTTATTAAACCAGCAAATAAGAGTTACATGCAACCCATGGAAAGGTACAAGATGCAACATTTCCTTTAAAACTAGTTACAGAATTATAAGTACAATAGAAATTACACAGAAGCTCAAAATAAAGTAGCCCGAAGAACCCCCTGTTTTGCAAGTGAATCAGCCATTGAGTTTGCTGATCTGCCTACCCACTGAACTCTGATTGTCATGTTCCTTGTTAGCCATTTAACCTTTTTGAGAAGATCTCTAAAACCCCAGATCACAGTGTCCGGATCCTTCAGCCAACCCACTATCACCTGTGAATCCCCTTCAAAAATCAGATGCTCTATGTCTAGCTGATTTGCAAGCTGGATTCCTTGTACAGCAGCAAGTAATTCGACCCTTAAACCCACTGTCACCTGGGAATCCCCTTCAATAATCAGATGCTCTATGCCTAGCTGATTTGCAAGCTGGATTCCTTGTACAGCAGCAAGTAATTCGGCCCTTAAAGAGTCTCCCACACCCGCAGGACCTGAGTACGAAGATATAATGCTACTGTCTTTGTTTCTCAGCACTCCTCCTATGCCTGAAGGTCCTGGATTTCCTCGGCTATTTCCATCAAAGTTCAGCTTAATAAACTCCTCCCCTGGTGGCATCCATTACTTCTTGTCATGGTCTTCCTCCTATCATTTTTAACATGGTAGTGGGTTGGGTTCCCTATTTTACTAGGTGAGTGTTCTGGGAATTGAGACTCTTTTGGGATGAGTGGAATATTAATATTATGATGGGCAGGTTATCTATGTTGTTTTAGTTGACTTTCCAAATATGGGGTTGTTCTTCCTCTACTAATGCCCTTGTAGTTTGAAAGGGACTAGAGTAATTTATTAGAAGAGTTTTGGGTGTACAATAAAAAAGGACTTGGCATTAGATGCGTTCTTGTCAGCACCATTGTATAGCATATCGGTGGTGCATAGATGCGTTCTGTAATAACTTGTCTTGATTTTATGAGGACACTTCCTCTTTTCCTTTTTCTGCTAAAACTACAAGGAACCATTCTGTGATAACTTTGTCTTGGATATATTGGGCAATCAACTATAATCCACCTTGAGGGCCATAATGCTTGAAGAGTACAAAACAACCCCTTTGTGGCTCATGAATTGTGTCTGTGGTGCATCCTGTGTATTTGTCCCATTCATCCTTGTATCATGAATCAACTTCATTTCTTCCATTATCTTCTCAGATGGTTTGTTAAGGTGTTTAGCCTGCATTTTCTAATGATGTAGAAATGGTATGTATGATGTGCCGATGTGTATTTGTGTTACCGGCATCTCAAACTGGATTATTTTCTATCCTTAATGGAGAAAATTCTGAAAGTATTCTTGAATTAAATAGAAAGCACATAAAGGTCTGCCATTACTCGATATTCATCTTTGCAGTATTTCAATTTATTTGGTTGAATGACGAGTTATTAGATCGAAGGCACAATGTTGGGAATACACTGGTTTGCTATAGTTGTCTAGTAAAGTGGTTTAGTTATCTCAGATCTATTAGGTGGCTTGGTTGAGTTCAATGCTTGTTATGGCTAATTACTAGTAAAAAAAAAATTGGGACCTTTAACAGCTGTGCTACCAGAAGTTTCAACCACAAGTTTTATTTTTTTCAGTATTAGCATTGGTTCAAGATCATGTAAAGTCAGTTATACATTCTGCTTCTTACAGCATTCCGTATGAACATTACTAAGTGTGATTGCTTTTGATTGCAGTCATTGCTTTGTGATCCAAATCCAAACTCACCTGCAAACTCAGAAGCTGCGCGTATGTTTAGTGAGAACAAGCGTGAATATAACAGGAGAGTACGTGAAATTGTTGAACAGAGCTGGACAGCTGATTGATATTTCCTGGTAGGGTGTTTTGGATGCTTCTAGAAGTTTGAGAAATGCCACAAGTGATATTGACACTCATAAACCATTGTACTGCAAGCACCCTTTGACTCGATTACATTGTTTGTTTGTTTTCCTTTGGGAATGAATATTAGGTCATTATGTCGATTTATGGGGAAACCTGGCAATGATAGTTTACATTGTATTTTTCTCAATCCCTAGAACCTAGAGTCGAGGATGTCTCAGCTGGGGGCCTGGGGCGGCTTTTGAACAGCTTGGCTAAAATATCACTATACCAGCATGCTGCCATGCACTGAAAGACTTAGCTGTAGCTCTGAAGGTTTGCCAGGTTGTAGCTGGTAGATGTATTTCCCACAACTTGAGTATCCCGGTTCCTAGCCCTGTAGCCCCAAGTTTTACTCAATATGAAACTGTGCTCCAAGCCTCCAACCTGAACCTGATTAAATTAATTAGGTTTTCAAATGTAACCCATTCCATCCCATGAATATGACCCCTATACTTGCAAGTGCTATATTTGTAAATATCTCAATATTACTATGTGCTTGGTCCGGCCTACCTGTCTACCTCCCTTGAAACTAAACTAAAATAAGGGGAAAATTACAGATAGCTACCATGTACTTTGTGGTAAAGACTTAAGGGTCTGAGCTTTCGATGTGATAATCAATCCCTTGAGCTTTTAAAAATATACTCAAATTTTTTAAAATGCTCCATGGTTTTTCAACGTGATAACCGATTATCACTGTTCTTTTACCTTCAGACTTCAGACGTAAATCAGCAGTGATAAAACTAAGTTCACCCTGATTCTCTCATACACAGTACACACACGCACCAGCTGACAGGTTGTGCTGGTTAGGGATGGAGAGAGAGAGAGTAATGAGTAATGACTGGCGGTGGTTATTCTCCTTTCAGTGTTTTAGAGGTTTCCGGGTTGAAGGAGGAAGAAAGAAATGGGGGAAACAGGGCCAGCTATTGCCATGGGTTGTGTTCTCGATTCGTACAGGTGGAGATGGTTGCTCTGTTATTTGCTCAAACGAAAAAAGATGACAAAGTAGAGAAAGAGACTCAAATAGCCCACCTTATTAAAAATTAATGAGAAGGGTAGTTTTGAGATCTTGAAACGTTCGAAGTGGCACGTGACTTTAAATGTTAACGGCCAAAGTTGTGTATGTATCAGTCCTGGCTCAACTCAAGTTAATGAATTATTTAAATTTCAGATTGACCGAAGACATGGTTATAGACACCGGGCTGGGCAACTCGTCACATAAGGTGGAGGTGGAGTCCGGTTACTATTCTATTTCATTTTGTCGGTTCGGGTTGGAGTGGCCCTAGTCCGAGACAATGGCTGGTTTCAGAATTCAGACATTGCCTTCAACTTGTATAGTTTTTATAGGGGAAATCGGCATTTAAGGGATTATGGGAATAGGGATTTGGAATCAGAATTTGGAACGGGTCATTTTAATTTTAATTGTTTGATTGGGTGGAATTGGAATTTTATTTCCATTCCTGATGAATTGGCATTCCTCATTTTAAGGAATGACCATTCCTTCCCCTCCCTCGGGAATTAAATCCCATTCTAACTTATTATAATATTGATTTCATTCTTGTCTGAAAAAATAGATCATTCTGATTCTGATTTTAAGGAATTTTTATTCCGAATAATTCCAACTGCAAAGCAACGTGAGCAATGTTTTGCTTGGAAGACGGTATTTCCTGGGCACAGTTCTTTTAATGCCAATCACATTTCTGCCACATGGAGGATTGACATGTTACTTTCCTTCGATTTGCTAGACTGAGAAAGCTTTTCCTGTGCACGTTCGACAACCTGAGATGTCAAATTGTCAATAGGACTTTTTCTGCGTGATACGTAGCTAACGTGTCATGGAGGAAGAGCCCCGTTGATAGCGCGGCCAAATAAGATTTTCTTATCTAGACTTCTCATATAGATTTGCCACGTAGATAGTGTTGTCCAAGCTTGGAACAGGACAAAGAGGATGAAAAGGCAGAGAGGAAGGTGGATGCATACTTGCCAAAGAATAGAAGTCAGCAAGGGTGACTGTAGATATATTATCTATTTGTTTGGTTTCGTTTATGTTTATTGAGTAAATGGTGTCACATCGGCACTCCATCAGCAAAGCTTCATTAATTGTATCTCTATAAAAGCAAATATCGATTTATATGCATCTCTCTTGTTTCAAAAAATTTTATTTTGGAGCTTCTTGAAACGAGTAAGCATTTATTGACACTTTGCTAATGTGGGTGCCTAATGGCTAGTGGTGGCAATTGGGCGGATTGGGTTGGGTTTGGTTTGGGTTGAGTTTCAATCCAACCCATTTAACTCGCCAACCCGTTAATGACCCAGTTATATAAAATTAAATGGGTTGGGTTCAACCCAAACCCGCTTTAACCCAATTCAATCTGCCCAAACCCATTAATCTTATATTTATGTACTTAAAACAAAAAAACTAACTCCTTTTTAACAAATAAGTTAGTCATAACTTAGTGGTAATAGTAGTTGCTATTTACACAACTGGTGAAGGTTCAGATCACATTACATGCCTGTTATTTTTATACAAGCAGAAAAGCCATTTAACTATGTGCGGGTTTCGGATTTGATGAATCACAAGGTTCAAACCGGTCAGACCAACTTGAACTATCTAATTAGATTGTCTTCGAGGCAATCACATCAAGTTCAAGAGTGGTTGAACCGTTTAGATCGGATCAGTCCGGTCAGACTAGACCCCACCCGAACTGGTTTATTTCGGTCAGACCAAACCCAAACCGGACTGGGCCGGTTCAGTTTGATCGGACCAGACTGGACCGGTCCAGTCAATGGTGGATTGACTTGGGTCAGCTCATATCAGGTTTGTGCACGGGTTTGGGGGTGAACTGATTGGCCCAAAGCGGGTAAAAAAAGTAAATCAGATCGGGCCGGATTTGGATCGGGTTGTACGGATATGAACCAAACTGGACAATCCAACCTGGGCAAAGCAAGTGGAGTCGGACCCCGCCTGATCTAATTCACTTCGGATTCGGGTCGAGCCGGCTGCATGAATAATGGTTGGACCGAACGACCCAAACCGGGCAAAGCAAGCAGTACCAAGCCATCCCGCCCAAGGTCTATTTTGGATTCGGGTCGACTTGGATCAGGTCAGACCGCATTGAATTGGTCCGGACTTGGGTCAAATTGATTTGGATTTATGTTGGGTGAAGTGTGTTGATTCAAGACAAAACTAAATTTAGTCAATAATTAATAGAAAATTAATGCATTAATTATAAATTATTTAATTCAAATGAAGAAAATAAAAAAATGCTAAGAAATTAATACTAATATCCGTAATGGTTAATCCAACGGTTATCCACAACCCAACCCAATCCAACCCATTTAAATGGATGAATTGGGTGACGGGTTAATTACACAACCCGTCAAGTAAATGAGCGGGTTGAGCAGGTTAAATACTGGGTGGATTAGACGGATTCAACAGGTTGGATGAAAAATTGCCACCCCTACTAATGGCGCCTATGTATTATAAACGCCCTCATTAATAATGTTCTCGATTTTATAATCACATAAATACAAAATATTTATTGAATAAACGTAAACGAAACCAAACACCCTCGTATCTATGCGGTTTATGATTATGAAGGTAGGACCTAGTACCTACGTAATTGAATCCTTCTCCTCTCAGTTATACGTAATTGAAACTTGCTTACACTCTGTCAGGCAAAATGCATGCATGGATCTATCAAATATCAATATCATCTAGCTGGAACCTACATTCTGTTAGAAGTAGTGATAGACAGAGAGGCAGCTTTGAGTTACATAAATCTTAACCTAACTATGGCCTACCATGCGTCTGATACATGATACATGTTTAAAGACTCCATCCAGGTCTGAAACCGACGATTCTAGCGTTATCTTCCTTTTTTCTTTCTCATTAATTTGTTCCTTTAGTGGGAATTGTGGATGAGTTGGTATGATGCAGGGAGACTCACACGGGGCCACTGGCCATCGGCCTTGTGGTTTTGTTCCTTATCAGTCCATAATAAAGTGCATGTATTATTGCTGCATGTGCTCTCTCAGTCTCAGTTGTCAAATGGCATTCTAGTGCGGTCGTTGGCTATGCTCCATCCAAGTGGTGGCATATATGCTGTGTGGTTTGTGGGTCTTGCTAGGAACAAATTGTGTGATGTGAGCTGCCAGTGTCATACCATCCTTATCTGCAAACCCAGAGAGGACACAGTTCTCTATAGTGATGATTGATGAATATATTGAATATACCTCATCCCTAACTCTAAGATAAGATGTTCATTACACTTTTGGCCTGGATAATTGGCCGTATCGTCCCTCCACATGGCAACTAGAGGTTTTTGTGAAACAAGTTCGGGATTGGCACTGAAAGGAATAACACCGGTCTGGTCCACATGCACCTAAATGCTTTTTGTATGGGACTTCTGCCATCAGAAATTAACCTGGGTTCTGGGCATGCAACAGGGAAGTTAGACATCGATCTAGCCTGATTTTGGTTGGTGCAGTCTAAAAGCTATCAACCTTCACAAGATGGACTTTCTAGCTATATCATATGTAGGTTTCCCATTGGTTTCCTTCTTATTTAAGATATTTATTAAGTATAAACAATTATTATATTTAAAACATCTTTATTGTTGTACCAAGTTGTAACGGTACAGCCTTTCAATGTTGTTCAGTTTAGTTTGTTTTTTTTTTCCTAGATTGATGAATAGGGCAGTCCAACTCCATAGATTGTCTCAGTTAGCTAAGTTCTCTGATGAGGATTCTGTTTCTTGGGCTAGACCTCCATGTACTGAATAGTTTGTTTCCTCCTTCTGTTAGTGCTTTAGTCTTTTAAATTTTAATTATCAAAGAAAAAAATAGTTGTATCGGTACAAGTTTAGGCCAACTGGGAAAATAATAATGTGAAAGAGTATGCCTTATTTACTTACAGGATATATGATAAGCTTCAAATGTACAGAAAAAAAGAAATTTATAACAATAATATCTACTAATAAATAGTGACTGCACAGTGGGGAAGAGGAAATTACTCAAGGTCTGTATGTACTGATGCTTCCGCTAAGGTTCCCACTAAGTTTCCCGCTAAGGTTCCCACTGATTTTGCCGCTGAGGTTTCCACTAGTGGCCCATCCGTCCTGAACTTGAACTGAATACTGCAAATTCCAGAGAACGTCTTCTATTGATGGTCGCTGTCTAGGGTCTTTAGATAGACATTTGATGGTAATTTCAACTGCGGTTCTTAATGATTCATAAGCAAATGTGCCTCGAATGGCAGGATCTGTAACTGCTCGGAGCTTTGCTGGGGCTTCTGTTAAGCCCTTCTCTAGCTGTAAACCAAAACAAGTATTTACAGTAAATAAAACAGAACAATTAACTAGATGTAAAAAATTTGAAGTTCCATGATATAGAAAATAATCGACCCTTTTGAAGCTCTGGGGCAATTAACCAGATGCTTGAGTCAGTATAGGCAGGAAGGAATTAGAAACATTTCAATTTTATGGACAAATTTTGTCTAGAATTTGGATAGTGGAAAAAGGTATTTGTACCTGAAGTCTTATCACGTCCAGTTCATTTTGGGATGTGATTTGTTTACCCGTAATTACTTCTACTATAATAGCACCAAGCTGATAAATATCATCTTTCTCTGCATGTTCAGCACTGCAAAAAAAATATATGGAACTTTCATAAGAAAACAAAGCTAAATTAAAAGCAATGTCCAGTTGGGCTTACAAATTTGCATGATCATAACTTGATCTTTTTGCTTGTATACACTCAGACACTGTGTAATGGCATCTTGGAGACTCAATATACCCAATTTTCATGCCTCTAAAGTTACAGCAGAATCCATGACACTAATATTACCACAGCCACAGGCCACAACATAGTTATAAACCATTTGTGAGCAAGATCAGAGGAACCTTCTTTAGAACTGTTTAAAAGAGAAACAACAGAAAAAGAAAGAAAGAGAAGGAAGAATAATTTACCTCCCAATATTACCGAGAAAATCTCTATTGGAAGGGTCTTGTGAACCTACCTGGACACCCAATAAAGAGAGAGGAGGCTTAATGAAAAATGTAGACCCTTATAGATATACTTTAGACCAAAGACGTATATAACATATTGAAGTTTAGCTTAATTTGAACTCACTCGAGCCGGCAGTGGCAGATTATAGCTACTAATTTTTGGTGTGAAATTATCATCCAGCAAAATATTCTCAATCTTCAGATCATTCCCAAAAATGCCAGGTGAAATTCCTGTATGCAAAAACTGTATTCCCCTGGCAACACCTATATTAATAGCCATTCTCTGTGGCCATTTTAATGTTTCCCGCCTTCTCCAGTCTGCAAATGAGATCAAAGATAGATGAGGTATTGAATTTGTTTGTTTAATGAAACTAATATTTGAGAAATCTGAACCAATAATATCTGTTTGTTTTACCAGTTAGATGACTCCTTAATGCCCCATTTGAAACATGTTCCAGAACAAGAAACAAAGTGTTTGCTGCATTGGGGTGATCCTGAAATGTAACAATGCAATGTCCAAGAATTCCAACCAAGTGCCGATGCCTTAGCTTTGAAATCACTTCCATGTGCTGCAGTAAGCTCTGAGGTGAATGCTTGTTCTTTAGTTTTAAGCATCGCACTGCAACTGCAGAACCATCTCCGAGCCAACCTTTGTAAAGCTGAAAACACGAAAATCATTTGGTTTGAGTTTGAGGGATTCATAGAGGACTAGACATACTACATCTACCACTATTCCATTAGTGCATTATTGTTATGATTTATCTGTTAAGTAAATGCTTCTTCTTAATAACCGGTAATATGGGTTATTACTTCTGTGATTATTCATGACTGATGGACTTGACATCGCCAAAGCTCCCAATAACAGACAATCCGATCCTTGTTATCATTTTTCTTGATTAAGTAGTGTGAGAACCAAAGTAGCTAATAATAACTGGTGGCTAAATACCACAATTCAACTTATCTGGTAACCAAACTCAACCCTAAAGTTTTTGAACACACAATCAGTGAAAATCATATTCTATTTCCCCGAGTACTTGCAGTATCAAGATTTAAGGTCCTATCATCAAATGTGACTGGAGGAGTTGGCACTAAACCAGTTGAGTACAACTTACTTGACATAAAAGTTCTGTAAAATTTCTTAATATCCACAATGCTTATGCATACTATGAGACCAAAATCATGACATATACCAGAAGATGTTTCATCTTTCTTTTTCTTTTTCATTCTAAAACCCATGATGAAGACTTTCTGTCTTACCTGTCCATATGATCCTTGGCCCAATAAATTTGTTTGGTCGAAGTTATTCGTTGCTTCTTCAATCTCCTCCATGGTGAATTCATGATATGGTGGGAGCTCAAGTGCTCCCAATCTCATTGTGTGGGATACATACCCTGTCAAAGAACATTTTTTTTTTCGCTTTATTAACGAAATTTAGTCTCACAATAAGATTAAACCAAGCAACACAGACTCCATGATGATCAAAAAGTTATATTAATATTGGAGATACTTTGAGGAACTAATTTAGGCGAAAGACTGATTAATCCTCTGCAATTGATAATCCATATAAACAGAGAAGGAAGATCTTACTTGTATCCGCAGCAGAAGGTTTATTGAGCATATGTTTGTTGAAACTGCTGGTTCCATGCTTCCTTGATCTTGTCATCCTAAAGATCACAAGAAGTAACAAGCCCAATGCGATCACACCACCCACAATACCCCCGCCAATTCCTGGTATGAGGCCTAACTTGCTGCTCGAATGGTGCTTTGTTTTCGGAGTTGTGGTGGGTTTTACAGCCAACGCTTCCTGGTCGCAAAAGGAGGTGGGGTGCTGATAACTCGAGTTCCCACTGGATAAACAATTCCAGGAGTAGAGCACAACGCGGTTCGAAGAGTTAGATCCTATGCACGACGGCAATCTTCCCGTCAGGAGGTTGTTGGAAAGATCCACAAAACCAAGTTTGTCGCTGCAAGAAATAGTCGTCGGAAGGGCTCCTGTCAATTTATTTCTGGCCAGATTGAGATACTGGATTGATGGCATAGAAAACAGAGCAGTGGGAATGGGCCCATTTAATTGATTGGAAGAGATGTCTAACCGCTGCAGCGCATCAAATTTCTTGAAGTCGAGACGAAATTCAGACTGAAACGTGTTGTTCTTCAGTATAATGGTCACGAGCTTGTTCCCCAGAGAGGGAAATTTGGGTCCGAGAAGATTGCCACTCAGATCCAGTTCTTTCAGAACCGCTAAACTGGTGAGATCTGGGACCGTTCCATTGAACAAATTATCAGCCAAAACAAGACTGCTGAGGTTCTTGAAGGTGGAAATTGACGGAGGAATCTGTCCGTATATGAAATTGAAGCTTATGTTCAGGACTTGAAGAGACCGGAAACGATTGATCTTGGGGGGTAGTGGACCCCATATTCCCAGCGACACAAGCGTCAACACCTTCAAGCTGGCAAGCTTGGTAAGGGTGGTGAAGAATGAATCAATTAAGAAGCTCTGAGATAGAGTTTGCTCAGAAACGGCAAAACCGGAGTTCCTCCCTGAGGCCGGTTTTGGGTTGACAGAAGGAGAGCTTCTGTTCCCAATGACAGTTAATTCAGTTACATGGTTACCTGAGCAGACAATTGTGAGAGATGGCGATGGAGGAAGGTAGCAGAAGTTGGTCCAATTATTCCATCCTTGGAACGCAGGTGGAAACTCCAGAAGCTGTTGGACTCGAAAAAGGATTCGATTTTCAAATGGCGTCAATTGCGCAACGGAGGGAGGAGGAAGCAGAGCCAAAATGAGGATTGCAAAGAATAGACAGTATGAACAGCGAGTCGTCGCCTCCATTGTTCAAAGGAGTCAAAACACAACTCTAGTCATTCCAAAGCTCAGCAAGGGAAAGAGATGAGAAAAGCCCAGCTTCATTTATGATTTACCACTTGTTATAAGATACCGAAAGGGACTGACTAGCTGTAGCTGGAACAGAATCATCAGAATTCAGAACAATAGCAATTACTGCCATTTATGGGAAAAACAGCAAGTATGAATTGCACTGTACATCTCATAAAATCTGACACTGAGAAACTGTTGAAGAAGAGAAGAGGAGAAATTTCCAATATCTGTTTTTCTGTCAGAAATCGGCAAATGCTCTCTATAAAATTGAAAGCTACCCTTTTCTTTCTAGCAGAGCCAGAGGGAGTCTCAGTCTATGATCAAAAGAAGGGAGCTATTGAGTATGGTCTATGGAGGGTGATTTGAGATTTTGAGTTTATATTTGCAGAAATTATATATCAAAGTAGAACAGGAAAGAATAAGAGACTCTCACTCTCATCATTGAACAAGCTTTTGGTCAATTTCAATTTTACATGATTGGAATTAGAAGATGAATGAATTATACAGGAATGCTGGCTGATCAAAAGGAGTGGACCATGCCAAGAGAAGTGTAGTAACCAAGTACAGACGAAGGAGAGAATCTATAATTCTCATTGCTTATTTACTTATTTATGCTTATAAAAATTGAAAAGAGAAAAAAAAAAAAAAGTCATGATCCTATGGATCGCAATCCATCGTATCAAATAGCTCTCGGATTTTCAAAATCGTTGATTTCCAGTGCTCGGCCGCCGTTGAACTGACGTTTCGGGATCCACGGCCACGGGCGGGTATCTCGAAGTTCAAAGCAACATGACACCCACCACCCCCCACGCCAGCACGTGGATTCCGTGAAATGCTTTCAGCGTTTCGGGGTTTAAATTCATAAATTAATGAACGACGATGACGAGGGGCCTGTGGTGTCGGGTGTGGCACTCTTTTTTTAGTTTAGGGTAAAATATAAAACCCTCCTCTTACGTTTGTGACAATCATAAAAACCTCCCTTCAACTTTTATTTTAATAAAAACCTCCCATCAATTATTAATTTAAACAAAACGGAAAGTATGAATAGGCTAAATGTAGATATCTGATTTTCACTGCAAACCTATAAACATTCAAAATGACAATAACTCATTAACGTTCTGTCCGTAAATTAACATCAATTTTCAATAATATTTTAGACCTATAAATTTAACCCAGGGTCAGAATTTGTAGAATAAAATAAATATTTAACTTAATAACCCATTTGCTAGTTGTTGTAAATGCAGTTATTATTGTAAATGCTTTGCAGGTCGCAATGAACGTCCAATCTCATTTGCTTTCCAGCTACGATGGTTAAATGCTTCTTCTTTTTTCTTGATAGAAATTTCGGTGGTGGTAAGATTAAAAGAGAAAGAGGACGATAAATAGGTTATAACAAATTAATGTTTCTTTTAAAATTATTTTAATAGTACGTAAAATCATATGCAAAAGGATAAAATGAGTATTTTGAAAAAATAATGCATCAATCAAATGCTTTCTGTCAGGGTTAGTGATGAAAAAGAGGCCTTTTCGAGTGCTCCAAAAGTTCAGAGGAAGCCTTTATTATAGTTAAATTTGAAGAGAGATTTTTATGATTGTCAGAAACCTGAGGGGGAGGTTTTTTTATTTTACCTTTATTTTAAGGGAATATCAAAAGGTTGGAATACTCTTGAATTGATTCAATCTTACAGAAACGGCTAAATACGTCGTCCCTTTTCGGTAGTCCACGCTCCACAGCGCGAAGATCAAAGCGATAGGTATGGTATAATATGATCAAAGCCATCCATGAAGTGATTGGTTGATGCATTGACGGTGTAGATGGAATGTACGTGTACGACACTGAACTTGGGTGGCTTTACGGGAAATTGTGTCGGTGAAGTTATAAGTTATGCGTTGAAGTTGAAGTTGGACTACACAGTCAACCCACATGTATGGCAACTGGCATTTATTTGTAAAATAGATTCGGATATATGCATGAAATATTTAAAAAAAAAAAATCTGTGTAAACGAGTGAACTGATGTCGTTGTGGTGGGGCAGGGATGAACGGATGGATGATTCATGATTGGCTGAGGATGAGGAATGTACCTAATCCCCCACTCCTTTCTTGCTTTATTTTGTAGCAAGTGAACTGTGAACGCGTATGAATAGGACAGTCACAGGCAGCATGTCATGTGTGCATGCATGCTCAATCTATGTGCTTAGATGTCTTGATTATTTTGACAAATTTACTGCTTCATCCAACGGTTTGAATAATCCGGGACCCGGCATATATATAATGGAACTCTTTACCTCTATGTAAACATTACTGTGACTTCACTCTTCAGTATATTGGGAGGTGTTTTTTTATGGCGTAGAACTGTGCTTAGCTATCATTTAATAAATAAAGACGACTTTGAACAATAAAATAATGGATGATTAGACAAATCGAACAGACCAGTCGTTTTATAATTTATTTTTTATGATAAGAAATTAGAAAAAGAAAAAAGATGGGGAAGGGAATCTGGAGGAGACATTTAAACCGGCCAAACCTGAAACCTGCCGCTTTGGATCCCTTCATTTAATAATTGGGTCCGACCTAACCCCACTACTTCGGCATAGGTTCCAGCTATTCCTTGGTAAGCTCTTTCAAGAACAGGAACAACAAGCGGGCAGGTTCGGGGCGGGGTCATATTGCCCGTTTCCAACCTCGACTTTGTAATTAACCCTATTTTCGTCCTTGATTTCCGTTGGGATAAAATTTATTCTCCATCCTTAATTCTCAACCGTAATGAGTTATTTATGAGAGTTTGAATCTCCAAAAATTTTTAAATAATAATTTTACTTAAAATAAATAAAAAATTTAAATTATATATATAATCACCTAATCGAGTCAGAGCGGGGCAGGAACCTCAATCCCCAAACCCGTCCCATCCCGCCAAAATAATCTCCATCCCCTATCCGATGGATCGCGGGAATCGAGTCTATTCACGTGCGAGAGCTACTACACCCTTGTATAGTTGTAGGCTTGTACAAGTACGTGTGTCGGAAGTCCGGATCTAGTAGCCACATCCCTGCAAGCACACTCGGTGAGCACTATCTGATTCTGATCTGCACTGCTCTTGTACTATGTAACAGATGAATATGATGGACAATATTGAAATTGTGTTGTTTCGGGACAATCAACTTCTCACTACAGGCTACAGTGAATCTCGACTTAAGACTGTGACTATTAAATTAATGGCAACGACTTTGAGGGTCAGCTTCGTATAAAGACAAGATTGAAAGACGGTGAAACACTCATATTGGCAACCCTTTCTTGGTATGGGACAAAGAATGCATGACGATCTACTATTCGCATCAGGACATTTGTTTGTAGAATCAGAATGCCCTCCCAAATCTAATATCGAGCTGATTCTACTCTCTCCGTGCTTCTTCAAGGAAGGTTATCGATTGTCACACAATATTGTTTGTATCAGTACGTCATTCTGTTGACAATAAATCACTCAAGTCAGTTTCAACCGATGTTGAAAACTCACCAAACCTCTCCATATGGTTCAACTCGGCATTATAGATAGAGATTAACCTAACTTATTATGATTGCACACATAAAATCAGAATGCCCTCCCAAATCTAATATCGAGCTGATTCTACTCTCTCCGTGCTTCTTCATGGAATGTTATCGATTGTCACACAATATTGTTTGTATCAGTACGTCATTCTGTTGACAATAAATCACTCAAGTCAGTTTCAACCGATGTTGAAAACTCACCAAACCTCTCCATATGGTTCAACTCGGCATTATAGATAGAGATTAACCTAACTTATTATGATTGCACACATAAGACAATAATATATATTTAACAATGCCAATAATATATATTTAACAATTATTGACTAAAACAGAATCACAATTATTGACTAAAACAGACAATAATATATATTTAACAATGCCATAAATGTGCAACCACACCAGAAGTATGGTAAACAAAAGCAAAATAATACTGATTTATCCACCAACAAAAAAGAATGAAAAAAGGAAGAAAAATGGCTTTCACAATTCACACCCAAAGCTGAATACTTAACCCAACTCTTTCTTTACAAAGGAAAAGTCCCCACTAAAAAAACCTGAAGACAAACTCCCATTAAGAAAAGACAAACTTTTGTATTAACTCAAGTTTTCTGATGCAGTTTCTTCTATGCTACTTCACTCAAGCTGATCTCCTCCATGTGTTGTTCGGCATCCTACAAAGACAACGGAATTAAATATTAGAGCCATGCAAAATGCATAGTGTAAATACAAAAAGAATTTTGCAGATTTATTAATGATGATATCAAATACAGGTAGAACAATCATATATGCTAAGCTATGAATCCTATGATAAGTATGGTGAGTCCTAGCTGTTCCTCATGTGAACTTGATGCTTCTTCTAAGACCATGGCCCCTGGCTGTTGACCATGTGATCCGACTTTGAAGGACACCTGTGCCGAGAAATCCAGATCACATGCTGAATGGCAAGGACTCAGATTGGTCAGAGAAAACGATTTAGGTTCACCAATCCCTAGGTCCATAGGAAGCCCTAGAGTTTGTTCACCATGTGAGCAACAAACGGATCACCTGCACATGTTTAAGATTCTGAGTCTAAAGGATTTGAGCAAACTTCTAATTTGCACAACTCCTTCACAGTTGTGCAGTCTAGAGGGTTTTTATTACCACATATTTGAAATTTGGTCACTTTACCATGTTTTCTTTGTCTTCTTGCGATGTCTCCTCAACGCCGCCGATAGGTCCAGAAAGGGCTGGAAAAAGAATAGAAGTAAAAATTATTACCCAAATTGATTGATTAATCATCATTGTCACCACCATCTTAAGCAGGTCATCGAGCAAATTCAAACAGCCATGATTCAAAAGCCAATCTAAAAATGCAAAACAGTTCTGTCTCAAGCACAAATATGAGTGGGCAAAGCAAATAAGGGCCCAATGTTATCACTTATCATAAGGATAAGGGCCCTGCATCAGCACAACTGGATGATTTAAACCACCCAAATTTACTTTGTCTGACAATGGAAAGGATGCCACAAAAAGATTAAGCATCTCATATGCTCAGAAATCATTCAGATTCAGCTAGTGCAACTTTAGCACTGGCATTGTAACTACCATTTGACAAGCATCTACATTATGTGCTCAAGAGTCTAAATCCAGATGCTAACAAGAAATAATTGTCTTCTATTTTACCTTTTTCACCAGAAGCGGTCTTTCCTTGATTCTTGATATCCTTTTCCTTCTTAGATGATTGCCCAGTTAGCCTCTGAGATTTCTTTTGTATGTTGTCACTACCAATATCTGTAACAGATTTCGCATTTGTGGAATTTCTATTCAACGATACCCTGTTCTTGGAAGCAGCAATTTTTTTACGAGAACCGTCCTTGCCAGTTTCTTTTACTTTGGCAGCTTGAGTACTTTCAGAGTTCAAGGACATGAGCCTTAATTTCCTAGGTTCTGTACTAGAAGCATAGCTATGAACATCTTCATCAGAGGATCGAGAACTCTCTTCTGGCACTTGAGAAATGGTCTCTGAAATCTGCAACTGCTCTAAATCTTCCATGATGTTATAGATTTTAAGCAATTCTTTTGCAAGTTCTTCAAGTTCTCCAAGGTTGTGTCGACGTACATAGGCTTTCAGCTCTTCCCGCAATCGCTGCAGAGGCTAAAAGTTGGACACAAAATCATAAACGGTTAAATTAGCTTTTTGTTCTTTCACTTTTCGATATGCATAAGACTATCTAAAACAAGTAGGCTATTTATAGACAACTGAGAGTTAACATCATGCACTTATATAAAGGATAACAAGGGAGACCATAGCTACTACTGTTATTGTCCTCCTAGTTCATTTAGCTATTCAATCGGCCAATCAATCAATCATTAGGTATAGGTACATATTTATACCTATGCATATGTATAAATGTGTACAGATAATAGGTATTTGATTACCCAAGCAAACGCATTTAAGAACTAAATGTATTAAACAAAATTCAAAATGTATTCAATCAAAGACAAAGAGCCGAGTGTGATACAGGACAGTCAACTAACTGGGGTTATCTTCACTTCCTGTATGATTCAAGTTACGGAAATGTATACTTGCCATGCATAGACATACTTCATGAAGCACAAATGCAGATTCGAGGACATGTCTACTAAATGAAACAATATTTAGCACATGGTGCATCAAAATGTGGTTATTTATCTACACATGTGGGATTCGTCTAGGCAGATATCCATCAAACGTACCTCACATCCAGCCTCTAGGCCAAGCTTAAAGAATGCAAGTGAAATGGAGTGCTTAGAAGCAGATTCAGAGAGCTTAATCTGCGATAACCAATATGATGCTGAGGATAAAACACTGAATTTCCGGCGGTTCAGTGATTTGGATGCATCAGAAACCGGTGTTTCACTCTTCCGTTGACCATTGGCAGGCCTCTTTGCTCTATTTTCGGATATTGGAGTTATGGTGCCAGCTGGTCTTGGAAGCGGGCTGGCAGTAGACTTGGCAGGAATAGAGAGCCTTCTAGGTGGCTTGGCATACTTGTCCTTTCCAGAGAGATCAAGAACACTAACGCTTTTGCTTACATTCGACGCAGGCCTCCCCCTGAAAATAAGAAATGTCGTTCAACATCGGTTAAATATGTATTTCCATTAAAATATGGTCGCTTGCCCTGAAGGGTGTGAGTTCAGATTAGGAAGAAATATGCACATGGACAGAGTAGTGCATTCAACTTGCAATGGTGATAGCTTGATAGGAATTCAACCCTACATTTTGGTCATTTTTTTAATTGATAATAACTATTAAACTACTGAAATATGTTTCTAGAAGTATTCTTAGAAAATACAATATGTAAAGAGGGAAAAGCATTTCCTCCTTCCAATTAGTCCCATTCCCTCGTGAAACTTGGAAACAGATTCCGAACATTACAAAACATTTTCTAAACTTGTATTACTAGCTTAATTTCTTTGACTTCTATCAAAATATCCAGATTTAGAACTTTTATCATATTATTATCAACAAGTAGCATTTGGTTAGAAGAAGCTTAAATCCCAATAATATGCATACGACTAGATTTAATTGGAGATTAAATCGAGGTGTGCAAGAGATAATAAGCTGCCTAATTAACTCCTTCAGTCCGAGTTATTTCCAGTAGGACCAGGTGACCCTACAATATTCAATCTGGCTTTCGAGAATATCGTCATTAAGCAAAGCAAATGATGTTAATTACACGGTATTAGTTCCATGCTGCGGGCTCATAAACAACCTTAATGAGATATTCCTGGCATGGGGAAAAAAAATTGGAATGATTCAAAACAACCTGAATGAGCACCAGAACTGGCATGGGGACCCATTGTGGTAGTTCCATGCTGCGGGCTCATAAATGTTGGGGCTCATAAATCTGTATTTAACCATTGCAGCAGTTTCACTTGTCAAACTACAGAAAATGCTCATAAATAAACGAGATATTCCTGCAGATTTGCTTTCTTGAATTTGGAAATAATGATAATTTTAGTAATGTCTCTTTGATGCTGGTGGAAAAATTACAGAAATTTCATTTCAGTGCTTCATTAAAAAAACTAAAAGCAAAAGATATCGGAGGATAATTTTCTTCAAGAATTAATCTACTGCTAATGGTAAAGAATAGAGATATGCGTGATTCATGACAAAACTTCGATAACCATCAAATTTTTTTATTGGACGCATAATAACACTATCACATCAAGTAAGTTGATGAACTACGTAGGCAATAAAATAGCAGATCAAAGAAGAGGGGGAAGGAAAGAAAACCTCTTAGAGGCAGAAGAGGACGACACATCCGCCATGGCTGGTTTATCATCCTTGGGTTTAATCGAAGATCGTAGTGGATATCGAAGTTTGGATCTTGCTGCATTTGATGAGAAATCCAAAGCAGAGAATGTTTCAGATCATGTGCATATAAAAAAGGGAGAAAGGAAAGAGAGAAAGATAATAAAAATTAGGCAGGGATGTTACCAGAAGCAGAAGATTGTTCCTTAATGGAGTCCATGCTTTATGGCCGGATGATAGACAAAAGGAAATGCAGAAACAGAACTGAACAGGCTGAATGTGCAAAAGAGGAGCGGATAGTTTATATAGTGGGGGGAGAGGGAGAAGAGGAAAGCGGAGTTCTTGCCAAGTGGAGTTTGGGCGGGAAAATATAAAGAAATATCTGGAGCCCAAACTCAAAATAAAGATGTTTAACGGTCGAAAACGATTAAAATCAGCAGGTTAAGATCATATAAATAAATCAGAGAGCAGTGCCAGGGAAGCTGTGCTGTGGCTGTGACTGTGACCCGTCTGTTGTTGATTGTTGAACGCCTCCCGCGTCTTGGGCCCCACTTTAGTCGGTTCGCTATTTCGAATTTCAAATCCGAAGTTCAAAGTTCAAACCAAACCATGTATCATCTATCGTTTTATAATCGCTCATGTGATGTGCTAAGGTCATGTATGGGTCATGGCGGGATAGCTGCTGGGGCCTTGGGCACAAAAATTTCGCAAAACTTATTCTTAGGTCGGATTGAATGTAACAATTTGAACGGGTCCGGGGTCCCGCTTGGGGTGTACGTGTCGGTTTTGTGCGATATGGGGAGTTGGCAAACCGGCATTGATTGCCAAATAATCAATAGAGTAAGAGTAGTGATAAAGACCAAAAAATAGATTAAGATGGTTAGATATTATGCATATATCATCATTTAAGTATTAGTTAGAGATGAACGGTGATTCAGCACTCCAGTGACATTGCGACACATGACACGATAAGACTGTTGTATTACATTTTAGTGTCACACAAACAGTTATGGATCTCACTAAGTTAAGAAAGTGTACCTCGGAATCAGTCCGAGCACCTTGTATACAATTCGGGCACCTTGGGAGAGCGATTAGCAAAACCTCATCCAAGGCCGACCTGTGGTACTTTGTCAATACCGGTCCAAGGGACCTCAGCATGAGGAACAACCTCCCCCAAAAAACTTATCGATCTGACTGAGGTCTAAGTGGCAACCTGCGAGACATGCTCATTGACTTCCTTTGTGTGTCTTATCACTCTCGAGTCCTCCGAAAGTCAACTCCCACACCGATCATTCCGGAGGCAACCATATAAAGCACGAAAGCTTAGTCCATGTGCGAAACTACCTCCGAGGACTTTGGACCTGTCAGTCATGTCCTCTTGAGGATCTCGGACACAATGCGAGAAGCTCATGCCAACCGTCACATATATAAAGGCGTCCCCATTTTCTAAGAAAGGTACGCACGATTTAGCTCTCGCAATTTACTAGCTCTCTAGTTCTCTCGCTTTTAGCTCTCTCAAAATTCTTCACTGACTTAAGCATCGGAGTGCCCCACCATGGGTAAAGCAACCTGAACACTCTGATATCTGTCTTCTTGTAGCTCGACTAGGTGACCTACTCAATTTGGTGTCCAAGTTGTCTGCCAGCAGGGAGCACTAGATCGCGAACCATCAATTGGCGTTGTCTGTGTGGGAACATGCTACACAAAAGCTATGATCTCACACGTTCTCTGAGCCTCAAGGAATGGCATCCTCAAGCAACAATAGCAACGCCTGGATCAAAGGAACACCCACAGGGGGTAGAATCAGAATGATCAGCCTAGACAAGTTCCAGTGGTCTCACCCGGACAAGCCTCATCAGCCCTGATTGCGAGGTCATCTCTACAAGTCGAGCTCTTTGCGGTTCCCATGGGAATCGGTAGCCAACGGACTGTGGAGTCACCCTCGTAGGTTGAGCCCTTCAAGGCTCCCGTGCAAGTCAACGACCTACAAATAATGGAGTTGCCCCCACAGGTTGAGCCCCTTGTGGCTCTCGTAAAAGTAGATGGCCAACATCTCCAAGAGATGATGCAACGCAGCCACGACACCGACTTGCAAACACAGCAATATGATAGCCCACCAACTTGCGACATGATTAACATGATCATTGGAGAGTTGGAGGTAGTAGCCAATAGGTTTCGTTGCCCCCGCTAATCGAGCCTTAGTTCGCAGGCTAGACTGTGAGGGGGAGAACCTGCCAAAGCAACAAAGAGTGGAAGAGATGATCTACTTCAACGAAGATTATACACGTAGGATCTGACAGGTATCCTGTTCCTTTGAGCTTTCAAGAAAATGGACTGCGGAGGGAAGATTTGGCCTAAGCCAATGTTCTCCTAGTCTATTTTGGCGATGGGGCAACCCGAGCTCTTGGTCGGATTAACCTATTCGTGACAACAGGAACCGCGCCAAACAGGACGAGGTTGCAACACTACTTTTTGGTGTTGGCAACGACGTCACCATACATTGCCATTCTAGGTTGACCAGTTCTATACACTCTTAGAGTGGTGTTATCAACACATCACCTCGTGATAAAGTTTCCCATCGACCACAAAATAGGATTAGTGCGGCGACCAACTCGAATCGCAGAAGTGTTATGTTGCAACACTGAAGGGCAAAGAAAAGCATGTTGTCAACATCGACTTGGAGCCACCGTCGGAGAACATCGAGGAAAGATCCCGCCCGATGGAAAACACTATCTTGGTGCCAGTCTCGGATACCGACCCCTTGAAGATGATGCAGATCGGCGCACACCTCAAGGAACCACTACACTCTGAACTCGTAAGCTTTTTAATTAGTAATCTAGATGTTTTTGTTTGGTCGACTGTCGACATGCCGAGCATAAACCCCTCTATAATAACCCATAGACTGAATGTAAACCCCTTACTCAGGCCGGTAAAATAGAGAAAAATGAACTTCGCCTTGGATAGGTGGAGAATAATAGACAATGAGGTTGGGAAGCTCCTCACGGCGGACTTCATGAGGGAGGTCGAATATCAGAGTTGGATTGCCAACCCAGTTCGCATGAAGAAGGCCAATGGAAAGTGGCACATGTACATCGACTATATAGACCCCAACAGAGCCTGCCTAAAGGATAGCTTCCCACTCCCTAGGATAAACCGCCTAATAGATGCAACCTTGAGGTTTGAGTTATTGAGTTTCACGGATGCATACTCCGGTTATAACCAGATCCAGATGGATCCTACCGACCAAGAGAAAACAGCCTTCATGACTGAGCCTGGCCTTTATTGTTACAAGGTCATACCCTTTGGCCTAAAGAACATTGGGGTGACCTATCAACGCCTTGTGAATAAGACTTTTGCCCCTTTGATTGATGATAAAGTAGAGGTGTACATAAACGACATGGTCTTAAAGAGCAAATCCCATGAAACTCTAATTGCCAACTTGACTTATGTCTTCTACGCACTTAGAAAATTTAATCTAAAGCTTAATCTAAATAAGTGCGTCTTCGGTGTCACGTCGGGAAAGTTCCCCGGGTACATAGTAAAATGACGAGGCATCGAGACCAATCCAGATAAAATTCAAGCTGTCCTAGATATGCGACCTCTACAACAATAAAAGAGGTACAAAGGCTAATAAGTCAAATAGCTGCCCTGAATCGGTTTATGTCTAAATCGGCTGGGCAGTGCCTTCCATTCTTTAAAGCCATCAAGAAAAACCAAGACTTTGAGTGTACCGAAAACTGTTAGCTCATGTTTGACAAGCTGAAAAGGTAACTAAGTTCGTCGCCCTTGATAACCAGGCCAGAACCTGGAGACGAGCTAAAATTCTACCTCTTTACGAGTGATGAAGTAGTCAGCTCAGTCCTAATTCACAAGGTGGACAGAGTGTAGCGACCTGTCAACTATGTAAGTAAAGTGCTACACAATGTTGAGACCAAATATTCAAATATAGAAAAGCTAGCCTTCGCCTTGGTATTGGCAGCTCGGAAGTTGCGTCCTTACTTTCAAGCCCATACCGTGGTAGTCTTAACCGGTCGACCTGTGAGGCAAGTTCTTTAGAAGCCCGAGGACTCGGGAATGCTGATGAAATGGGCAGTCGAACTTAATGAGTAAAACACCTGGTTTGAGCCACACCTAGCAATCAAGGCACAAGTCCTGGTTGACTTCTTCGCCGAGTGCACTTTCAGCATGCCGACCCCTGAAGTTGTCAAGCTCGTAACCACCTCGGAGGCATCAACTAGTACGGCATCCGACTCGACTTGGGACGAGGAGCCCTGGATCATCCATGTGGATAGATCATCTAACAAATGCGGAAGCGGATCTAGACTAATCCTCTACGGACCCTGGTGAAGTGAAATTGGAGTATGCTCTCCAATTTGCGTTTTGAGCCTCGAACTATGAAGTTGAGTACAAGGTGCTTATAGTCGAGTTGCCCCTGGGAAAGGAGGTTGACTTAAAACACCTTGTCATTTGTAGCGACTTGCAGTTGGTCGTCAACAAAGTGAATGGACAGTATGTGGCCTAGGAACCCATCATGTTGGCTTACCTAGCCAAGGTTAGAGAGCTCATGCCCAACTTCCACTCTTGGTACATCTAGCAGATCCCGAGGCTTGAGAACACCGAGGCCGATGCACAATCGAATCTGGCTGGTGCAACAGACATCACGAAGAGAACTGTCTACATCGAAGACCTACCATAGCCAAGCATCAAAAGAGTGGCAGAAGAGGTCGCTCCCATCATGGCCACATAACCGAGCTGGATAGATCTACTCATTGACTATCTACACCACAGGATCATCTTTGAAGATCATAATGCAACTTGGAGGATAGAACGGCAGTCAACTCGCTATTTAATCATAGCCGAGCAACTATATCACAGGTCATTCATGCTCCTCTACATGTGCTGCTTGCGCCCAACTAAAGCGAGCCAGGTGCTATACGAGATCCACGAAGGTCTCTACGGAGGACACTTGAGGGGTAGAGCGCTAGCCCAAAAAATGCAGCAACAAGGACATTATTGGCTAATAATGTGATAGGTGTTAGCGGCACGCCAACATACCTCAACAGCATGCCAACATACCCCAGCAGCATGCTGCTGACCTGAGGTACCTGACCAGCCCGTGGCCGTTTGTGTAGTGGGGGATTGACATAGTTGGTCCCTTTCTGTTGGCAACCGGGCAAAGAAGGTTCTTGGTCGTTGCGGTAGACTACTTCACCAAATGGGTAGAGGTTGAGCCGCTAGTCTCTATCACAACTTGGAACGTGCAAAACTTCTTCTAGAGAAACATCGTCTACCGTTTCAGACTGCCATGCGACTGATCTCAAACAATAGAAAGTACTTCAAAGACATTAACTTCTAGAATTGGTGCACCGAGATGGGAATTTAGCAAAATTTCACCTCGGTAGTTCACCCTTAAGCCAACGGGTAGGACGAAGTGACCAATAAAGCCATCTTGCAAGGCCTCAAAGCTTGTCTCTCTCATGCTAATGTTCTATGGGTGGATGAGCTGCCCAGTGTTTTGTGGGCCTACAAAACTACGATCAAGACAACAACTGGCGAGACTCCCTTCAACTTGACATATGGGACGAAGGCTATCATCCCAACTGAAATTGAAGTGCGACCTTACGGTCTGAGACGTACGACAAAGAGGCCAACGAGGATAAGCTATGGACTAACCTCGATCTAATGGAGGAAGTTTGTGACTTGCCTACATCCAGACCACGACGTACTAACAATAGGTAGCTCGGTACTATAACACCCAAGTTAAGAGATGCCAATTTTGATTTGGTGACCTAGTACTTGAGCCCGGTGCGGAAATGCTGAGTCCGAATTGGGAAGGCCCGTACTGAGTTAAGGATTATTGGCGAAGACACGTATGAGCTTGAAACCTTAGAGGGGATGGCAGGTACCCCGTGCATGGAATATCAACAATCTGCAAAGATACTATGTCTAAGGCTCAAGTGCAGCCTCGACCTACATAAAATGCAAACCTTGACTACCCGCTTTGGCGACTAGGATAAAGCCGATCTATGCTATAAGCATCTCGGCGAAGGCATGGTGCGAGAAAGTTGAGTCCGAACTAGGAAGGCCCCTACGGAGTTAAGGATTATCGGCGAAGGTACGTATGAGCTCGAAACCTTAGAGGGGAGGCAGGTACCCTGTGCATGGAACATCAACAATCTGCAAAGATACTACGTCTAAGGCTCAAGTGCAGCCTCGACCTACGTAAAACGCAAACCTCGACCACCCGCTTCGGTGACCAGGATAAAGCCGATCTATTCTATAAGCACCTCGACTAAAAAAATTAAAAAGGGGAAGCTAGACCGCTTTTAGCTTTCAAGCCCCCTCAAGTTGACCTCGAGACACGTCGATCGATCCATGTAGGTCAGCCGACATCTAACTAGTTTGACAGTGTTTTGACTTTGCCGCTACCCTAATTGGCTAGCCTGCATTTTAGCACCATGACCTAAGTGTACTTCGGTTCAAATAAAGACCAGTTTGCTTTCAGTACCTCGACAAACATGCAAACTTGGCCGACTTCTTCACAGTTGTCCTCCACCTCAGCTTCAGGCTTCGCATCGACCTTATTGGCTATTCCCAATTCTCTAGTTCTCTCGCTTTTAACTCTCCCAAAACTCTTCATTGAGTTATTGACCAATTCAACGGTTTTTGGCCAGAGGTTTGGGGTAAAATGAAACCGGTTGCTTGAACGGTTCCTAGGCCTAATGGTCCGACGATCTAGGTCAACGATGGTTAAAAAACATTGCTGAAATCACTTCAAACAGCACTATTTTTATCAAAGAGGTTTTATTTGAGAAATCAATGACTCTCCAAAGCCCTCAAATTCACTAATACTTGGGAAATGGCTTTGACACATCAATTCCTCCAACTAGACACTCACCTAGAAGAGGGGAAAAAGGAGAATTTGCTTACTTCTCCATCACAGGAATGTTTGGTTCCAAGAATTGATTTTTTTATTCCACTCTATATAAATTATCACGTAAATCAATTCCAAAACCATATTTCGCAAGTAGAAAATCGGTGAAGGGATTGGTTAATTCCAATTTTCATGATTTAGGGTGGTGCCGGAAGATTTGGGAAATGGCTTTACAAGAGTTTCAGTTTCAATTTGAAGTGACATGCCCATTCCAATAATGTGCAAAAACAATAGTGGTACGGTGGTGGCATTTTTTTTGGGGG